TGGCAAAAACATCTCATGCTCTTGCTATCCGTTTTGTGATCTCATCTGTCGGCCCGTAGTCTAGAGGTAACGAGCTTGTCTCGTAATCTTGAGGTGCGGGTTTGAGCATGCATAGGTGCAGGTAACCCGCGTAGTACCCTTAGCCCACGTGTGAGCGGTGGTGGTTGCTTGACAGCGAAGCGTAGATACTGCTGACGCCTTTCGTGATCTCATCTTCCGTTCCTTTGACGCTGATATAACTGCGTTGACTTCTAGCTGATCCCCATCAAGGATTAGAGCAGGAGTGGGGCCCAACCGCCTTGGAGGAGCATGCATTTCGAGAGTGCAAAGCATAACCCAAAACGGGTGGCAGCCAGTGTCGTTTGTCCGGTGCCACTTGGCACGTTTGGAAGCTGTCAAATATAAGGGTAATGTCGTCGGTGTACTCCAAGTCAAGAAGTTCTTCATCTGGGAGCATCTTCATGCCTTGCACGTCGCGTCCACTGAGCGCAGTTTCTATGATCAATGGAAAAGTTAAAAAGGAAAAGTGACGGCGGGAATCATTGTCTCACACTGCTTGAGATACTGAAGGGCAGCGACTGCTAGCCCGAACGGCACGTACAGTGCTCTTATGACAATTACATATTCTCGAGCATACCCTTCCTCAGTAGACAGTCCCAAAGGGCACATCGGACAAACTAATCGAAGGCGCCTTTGATGTCGAGGAACACGGCTACGGTGACTCGCCGATAAACATGGTACTCCAACAATTGACGTAGATGTGATCAATACGGCCGCGACTTCGACGAAACACGCTTTGCTCCACGCGAATCTGGCTTTCACGTGTGCTTGCAAGTCTATGAAGAACGACCGATGCGAGTAGATTAGAAGCAACTGAGATAAGGCGGTTTCGTCCGTGGTTGCCGCATTCAGAACGTGGGCCCCTTAAAAGTTGGAGCTATTACCGAGCGGATTCAGCCTGATGGGACAGCTCCATGCTCCCACAGTTTAACAAGGAAGTTGTGCAGATCATCTGTAAGAGCAGGTCTGCCTAATTTGAAGAGAGCTGGAGGGATTCTATCCGATCCTGCGGCCTTATTTACTTCCCACAGCCTGATCTCAGCCATTATCCATTTGATGAATTTATCACCCAGAGCAGCTGACTTGACAAGGCTTTGTACTACTCTAAAGATATGAGAAGGCTTAAAAGGATTGAACTTGTCGCTGCTACGCAACCATGATCAGCTGCACATAAGCTAAGGATACCATAAAAGACATGCCGAAGCGTACAGCGCTAAGTAACAATCTACTAATAGTGTTAGCATAGCCCTGTGCCAGACCTAAAGAGAGTAGCAGCGCAGCGGAAGGTGAGCGCAAATCGTAATTAAGAGGCGCGTAAATGCGTCACGAGACATCCAAACAATCGCACACAACGAACATGGACAGAGATCTTATATTCCATGGGTCCATGGTAAGATTAAATGTATTAGAAGAATTTCACCAGCATAAAACAAAGAAAAGGGAGAATCGTCGGGCCGAAAAGACTCCACCTGAGGTACAAAAGGGACACGCCAAGGCAGACATTATATGATGGGTTGGGGTACCGTCAGGAAAGCATTTAAGTATGCGCTGGCCTCCAGACTACCGGAGTTAAGCAATAAGTAACTGGCATGACAGTGGAAGGTTAGCCGCGTTATATCCTTGTTAACTGGTAGCCATGCATGTCCGCCGCCGTCACTCATGGCTTAGTGGCGCAATCTGCCGACATCCGGAAGCCATGGGGTCGGAAACCGGCAGCAATTCAAAAAAACGCGCACTACTAACGAGACCCAGGAAATCGAAACGGCCATCCGGTGCTTCTACTGTGTAGTGACTGGTGAACATTCTTCAAACTACACGTAAAGCTAACTACTTATTAGTAATAAGTAAAATGTCTTGACAGTGAATGGGCAAGTAACTAGGCCGAATAATAAAAAAGCGGCGCCATGTAAGGACCGAGAACATGACAGCAAAGCCAGCCTGGGTGGTAAGGCTGCGCGATTAAAACTACGTGCGCAATAGAGCGATCCGCTTTATCAGACTGACATACCATGAAGCGGCGAGAAGCAACGAAAATCCCATGCCGAAAATACATAAGCCCGAAGTTCCCGTTCGGCCCATTGTAGATGGTATCCGTTCGCCAACGCATGAACTAGATCCATATTTGGCAGGTTTGTTGCAACCTCTAACAGGCAGAACAAATACGTTCGTACGGAACTCTTCGCGAAAGGTAACGCGAAAGATAGGTCTGGCCATTGTTACTGACGAAATAAGGGTTAGTTAGTTGGCTCCCTATTCACTAACGTGCCCAAGGATGACGCATTGGGTATAGCACAGCGTTGTCGTACTGAGGACAATAGCCTGCAGCAGCGATCGAAACTCATGGTAGACCAGATAATCGATGGAATAAAAGTATGCCTTAATATGTCATATTTCACTTCCAAGTCGAGACTATACTCTCAGGAAGAGGGACTTGCGATGGGGTCATCAATATCGCCTGGATTGGCAAATCTGTGTATGGAAGACTTTGAGAGAAGGGCTCTGACAAACTCCAGTAGTTCGCCAAAGAATTGGTGGCGCTACATGGATGATAGGTTTGTGATTATGAAGCGAGATATGAAGGATGCGTTTCTAAACCATATGAACTCCATCAATAGAAATATAAACTTTACTATGGAACTAGAATCTTGCCCTGGCACACTGCCATTCCTCGATTGCCTAGTTCATAGGAACGGTGGACGGCTAAAGACGACGATATATGGCAAGCCGACAGATATGGAAGGAGTGCTTCATAACAGTTCGGGTTATCCAAAACAAGTCTATGCCGCTATCGCATCGTCGCTGTTTCACAAAGCCCAGACTCTGTGTACAGAGGAAGAGGACAGGAAGGCCGTTCGTAAGGAGACGGTGAGCAAATTAGTAAACAGTGGATATCCAGTAGCAGGGAGCTGTAAATTCACCTCCGCGACGCACAACGGAGTGGATTGGGAGGGTGGGAGCCTCCTATAAAAGGAGAACCTCAGAAGCAATCAGATGAGTAATTAACAGGGAGAAATTAAGAGTGGTTCTTAGGAAGGGTCAAACGCTCTATTCAGCACTTGTGCGTTTGAAGGACCCACTTCCAAGAGATAGAACGACAAAGTGTGTTTATAAAATCAATTGCAAAGACTGCGAACACGTGTATATAGGTCCAACAGCGAGAGAGCTATGCACGAGGATAGCAGAACACAAGAGGTACGTTCCGCGTCCACTGAGAAATGAGTTTCAATACAGGGCCCTACTAACAGATTCAGCTGTGTCCGTACATGCGCTAGACGCAGGACACGAGAATGATTGGGACAATGTCGAGATACTTAAGAGGGGATCACCAGCAACAAGCCAAAGGTTGATTGCTGAGGCGATCGAGATTACTAAGACTAATAACTGTGTGAACAGAACGGACGGGGTGGATTTATCGAACGCGTGGTGGGCTGTGTTGATCCGGTCAGTCAGAAAAGGTGTCGGCGGACGAGCTCAGGGGGGAGCGTGAAATAGCAGTTGCAAGAAAGGAATGCCTCACATGTGAACGACCGGGAACGTGGATCAGTGAGAAATGCTCGATGCTTGTTGTTCCCCTAACATGGCCACTTGACCGATTGACCTGTAACATTATTATCCAATGGTTCATGCTATTAGTTGCAACCTTCACCTTACGTTCCCATAAAAAGCTAAACCATTTGTGTGCCGATTCACCTGGCCTGAAGAAGCTCTTCTGCCAAGGGCGAAAGGTTCAAGCTCAATTCAAGCGGGACTGGAACGATAGGATTATCCCGTGAGTGTTCCTTCTTCGGCGGGTCGTTGAACCAGGAGTTAGCGAACCTTGAAATACTGATGGACCTAAAACAAAGACCGCATCACACCCTGTCCAACCAATTAATGCCCACGTATCCTGCCCTAGCAGTCCCTGCTGGGTCGGTTACGTGAAGTAAGAAAGAGAAAAAAGTAAACGCAGAAGGCAAAAGAGAAAGTGGTAAGAGCTAAGCAAGTGGAATACCAAGATATTTGAGTCAATAAAAAAGAACTGAAAAGTGAAGGTGAGTCGGCTAGGAAAAAGGAAAGGTTTGCTGTTGCCACCCAAGAGCATCGAGCTGGCGCGCAAAACCCTTAACTGTAGGTTCTCTAACCACATGATCTGGAAGAGAATTCCAGCGATCTATAACTCGGCGCGATAGACGAGTTTCCGTCCTAATCCTATCAGACCGTGGTTTATGCAGTTTCACTGGGTGACCGCGGAGACTAGGTAACGTAGCGGGACTAAAAAGCCCTGACAAGTCCGGGCCAATCTTACCCGTCAAAATACGATAAGTGAGAATCAGGTCCCCTCTTATCCTTCGGTAGTGCATAGAGTACATACCCAAACTGAGCAAGCGTTCAGGATACGTCTGTCCCCGTAGACCCTGCACTAACCGAGTGCCCACTCGTAACGCCCTCTCCAAGTCCATTTTGTCTCGGTTAAGACATGGTGGACAAGCCTGAATACAATATTCCAGGTGGGGTCGGACGAATGCCGAAAATAGCTTCACAAACAAATTGCCCGTTAAGATTCCGAAAGAGTGGCGGATAAACCACATCATACGAAACCCTCGACAAGCAGCCTTCTTCCAGTTGTCTCCAGAATGAAGTGCTGATGCGTGTACGACTCCTAAATCAACCTGCTGAGTGACAATATGGAGTTCATCACCGCCGACGACATATCAGGTGGGAGGATTTGCAGCTCCGATTCGGAGAACAGAGCACTTCGCCCTATTTATGGGCCCATTTGTATTCAAAACCTGAAACCAAGATTCGCTTACGTTTCGCTTCTAGAAACGTTCCGAGCTCAGTTACGATGTACAAGACTTAAGCGTAGAAACAAAGACTATAAGCAGTGAATAAAACATGAAGCATCACATAACTCGGTGTGATTACAGAGAACAGATTGGTTACTCTCAACATTAACGTACTTTGACTTCCTGACCTAATGGTGCAATAACTTTGAAATCCGGCACTTGCATGGCTACATCCACCACCAAAATAGAGATAGGTAGAAAATAAAAGCGGGTAGCGGACCGTTGGAAACGGCACCCGCAGTACAGTTGAAACCGCGAGAGCGTCGGGTTAATCGAAAACGGTGTCACGTAGTGGTAACCATAGAACTGCAAGGAATGTGGGCCATAAAAATATAAGTTGCATCAATTTTACAGCTTAAAATGCGACTATGTCTAGTATTTTCCAAAAGGAGTTGATATCTAAGCACATGAGTTTAGTCGCTATTTTAAGTGAGGTCTCATGTAAGAGGTCGTATTTAGCTGTTATTTCGCATTGCAACCATGGAGGCTGACTTTAGGGACACCTTTGTTGGACATTCGTTTCACAGCTTTGATGAATTCTATTCCCTGTTTACGTCATTTATGCATCGGACCAACTTCAATTTTGTTTGCTGTGAGGTATGATCGCATCGTTTATAGATGCCGGCGCTGTAAGCGCCGGAAAACAAGGAGCAAAGGAATACGGCGAGTCTAGTATATGGTTTATAATGTTGTTAACCGTCCAATTTAGTTTTCGAGACACCGATTGCAGTGCTCGTGTCAATGTTGCTCTGGATGGCCGTAAGCTAAAGGTGCTAACGTTCCAGCTCTCACACAACCATCCATTCAACCGGTTTCTTTTCGATAGGCACCCTCTAAACCGGCGACTTACTGAGGAGGAATGCAATCAAGCTGCTGACTTATTTCGATACAACACCCCTACGTGCGACATAAAGCAGTACATCGAGAATGCATTCGGGAAACACGTCACAAGAGACGACGTCCGTAATGTACGCCGCAGGTTGTGTTCGCCCGTGTCATGTAGGTGAAATGTCACGTTATCATTGCTAGCCAATTTGCGGCAGGCCCTGCAGAACGTGGAACAGGATGGTTTAGTGGAAGCAATTTCTGAAAAAGTTTACTTACGCATGTGCTTTTGCAAGCGCTTTTAAATAGCTTTTCACCTCCGCTCAGACGCTTCGGATAGTTGTGACGCCGTACCCGGCTGCAGCTATGCGTTGGTGTCACATAGTACGGACAACGCACCTGCTATGCCTATGCGCTTACAAAATGAGACGACCACTTCGGCGGAGCTGCAGCCTATCCGCAAACCTGCGTTTGAGTATGTCATAATATATTGTTACCTGCATCCTCCTCAGTGTAGATCTGGATTCCACTGCAAATGAACCCTTTGCTGGAAAGACAACCGTTTTAAGAAGCACTTTCGTGATCTGCTTGCCAGGCATAAGTTCTGTGCCATTGTCATTAAACCACTGCAGCCGATGATTACGAGTTTGCGTGACTGCTTAAGGGTCAGCCTGTGAGAACGCAAACTTGGCCCATTTTAGGGCCACCTCCTGTTTCTTTTCCGTGTGCTTCCCTCTTGCCAACCCGAGCAACTGCTCGGTTGACGGCATTGATTGGAACGTTCCGTAAATGAATCGGACGGTGGCCCTGCAATCCTCGCAGGAATGGCCCAATTGCTGTTTAACTGGGCCCCCAAGCTCATGCATTCCCTGTACACAATGGTTTCCTTTAAGTACATTACTTTTACCCCACTCCTTAGCGATCCGCTGTGTTGACGTGACGTATATGACGTTTCCGGCACATTTGCGTGAGCACTTTTCATGGGTCTGAACGACAACGTTCCCGGAAATGTTATCAGTGCCAATACGTTACTTGACAATTCTGTTATCATTTGCATGTCACCATTTCCCCATTGTCCCAGTGCTGTTAACGAGCTAGCTATTGATGCCTAATTATTAGCATTTTTGATGCTCTTGCAATGAGCTTCAGGCACCCTGTCTGGACGGGTAGACGAAGACATATGTCGGCTATTATATCACCCGTGCACCAGGTTTGTGCTGATATGTATAGAGGCTTCGAGACCTACGCCATTGCTGCTAGTGCCAAGAGACATATGTAGGTTACTGTATCACCAGTGAACCAGGTCTGTGCCGATATGTATAGAGGCTCCGAGACCTACGCCATTGGTGCTAGTGCTAAGTGAGCTATGTAGACTATTTTATCACCAGTGCAACAGGGCTGTAATGATATGTATTGAGGCTCCGAGATTTACATTCTTGGTGATAGTGCTACGAGACTTACGTAGGTTACTGTATCACCAGTGCAACTGGCCTGTGCTGATATGTATAGAGGTTTCGAGACCTACGCCATTGGCGTTAGTGCTAAGTGACCTATCTAGGCTATTTTATCACCAGTGCAACAGGCCTGTAATGATATGTACTGAGGCTCCAAGACTTACCTTCTTGTTGATGGTGCTACGAGGTCTACGTAGGCTACTGTATCACTAGTGCAACTGGCCTGTGCTGATAAATAAATAAATAAATAAATGGTTTATTCTCGTCACTGCGAGGCACACCATCAAGGGCGTGATCATGGTATTACAAACATGTATGATCAGCAATTGCACAAATTAGTACATTTTGACCAATAGCATGGAAATTTATGTGTGTGTTGAGATGTAAAACTATGTTTAACTGTGTAGTTGGAAGGGGGCATGTTGTATGAGTAGGTAGATGTGACTGTGTGTGCTTTTGTTCGTTGTGTTCGCCGTCAAAGGGGAAGCAATGGAACGCTTTGAATCAGATGACGTCCGTGATGTGTGAATGATCCTCCGGAAAAGGGAAGAGGCAGTGACTTTATTTAGTGGCGAGTCACATCCGCCACTTCACAGTGTTGTTAAACGGATACTTGTGGTATTTTATAGGGAGAACGCTTGCCAGGCGAAATCCCACCACATCCTGGAACACTGCCGCCGAACCATTTGCTGGAACGGGACTTACCCGAACCACCCAGCTGGCACCACGAGGAGGTTGTTCGGCTCCGATAATTACATTCTTGGTTATAGTGCTAAGAAACCTACGTACCTTGTGAATCCCTATTGCTCTCCAACTTCCGGATTTCCGTTTACATCCTGGCAACTGGCTCATCACCTCATCCCAAATGCCCTCCACTAGGCTTGTGATGCCCCGTGACCCATAAACGTCTAACATGCCAACATGTTCATTCCTTCATCATATGCTTGAAGTGACTGTGGACTTGCATTGTTACCATTACACTCAACATGTGGGCATAGGTCTACTTTGCAAAACTAGTGGGGTCCTGCGGACTGCGGTGTGCACTTCCTCTACTCAGTTTAGTTGTTTTGGCATATTGAGTATATTCTTACTGTATGCTGGCAATAGGTGTCCATTTATTACCCGGTGACGTTACTCTACATGAAGTCATGTGCGCTGATCACATTAATATACGGAGCACACCGGCGCATCCTCCTTGGCAAGATCGTACCGGTAAATACCTGCCCACGAAGAGCTCTAAGTGCTGCCAAATTTACCGGACGGCTTCATCAAACAAAAGCTTAGGAAGCTACCAAGCGGTTAGAAATAAATGTAAGCTACATACCAGGACGGCTCGGCTTTAATTACGGTTGAAATCCTAGAGGATATTTGTATCCTAGCAATCTATTCGATGCCCGTGCTTAGTACTGTGGTACTGTGTTGCAACCATTAGCATCATTTAATGAACGTTGTTTACAAAATCTACTTCTCCCACATCGTATATTTATTTCATTAGCAACCAACTCAAGTTCAAGTTCAAGTGGGACTGGAACGATAGGCTAAATCCCGTAAGTGTACAGCCTCAATTACATTTACATTTACAGATAGTTCGATGTATATCGCTCACGGCGACGGTTAACTTTCTAACTGTCAATGCAATTAAGCCTCCAGTTCACTGAGTAGTAGAGAGCAGAAGAGAGGCCCCGTGAAATCTTCACTTCGTCGTGAACCGATTTAGCTAACGGTGTCTAGACAGCTGCTGTATTACTTTCATTACTAAACATTTCACTGTAACCTGATAACTTCTATAACCCTTTTAGGCATCATAATACAACCACAGAGATTTCCAGAATATCGATCAGAACTTTCTAAATACGAAATGGATCCCACCAGTGCAACAATCATTTTGACTGTCAATAATATACTCACAGCTGCCAGAGATATACCAGCTTATTGCATCCTTTTCCACAGAAGGAACAATGAAATTGTGTGATTTCTACCTACCAGATAGTAACTCAACGTCCTTCTCATTTGTTGACATCGTTCATTTTTGTGCCAACGGTTACCAATAGTAATCGTCATATTGGTGCATTCAAACACACATTTTCAGGTTAAGCTGACTAGAAAATACACATCTCCACGCAATTCTAATCACATACATGCAGCCAATCGGATAGCTTCGCCATCTTGAATTCACACCGTTTGCCTTGCCACTAGTGGCCAGCGTCAAAAACAGCTGATCGTAATTTGGGGGCGGTACTGTTTGCCGCCCGGTAGTCGCATACCTAGCAGTGTACTTTAAAGATGGTGATGTTTGTTGATTGGTCGGACGAGAGTGAAACAATTGACCTCTAGACTCTGACCTTCTAATCTGGTGTAACCTTAAAACTGTGTTTTAATGTGCTCAAAAGCTTTCAATCCGTTTTGCACCTGTGAGAGCGACGTCCTCTTGAGTGTTACGTTCCGCTGAGATCTTCTGAGCGACGAAAAGAGAATTAAGATCGTTTTTGGAGAATCATTTAGTGAATATTTGGACTTCATCTTCCATGGCGTCCAAATGATTGTCCTGTAGTAAAGGTGTCGCCACTGGTTCCAAAGCAGTGCAGTGCTCTAAACGTGATGAGTGGATGCACATCGCCTGCTGCGGCATCTGTCCTGATCAATATGTGCACTTGCAGCGGTTTACCTCGACAGCCATTAACTTCTTTTGCGACAACTGCCGTGCTTCACTGAATTGCAGGCGTCTTCTCGCAGGACTATCTGCGTTGAGCATTGATTCTTCTTCTCCGACGAAGCCTGATATGATTCACGATTCATCTGATCCACCGTGCTCACCATCAACATATACCTCCAGTGGGATCACCCCCATAGGTAAGCGAAGTCGAACCACGTCCACTACGCATACGGATCCATCTACACATATCCTGCCCACTGATAGAACCACCAGATCTTATGCGGCAGTTGTGAGGAAAAGCGCGGTATATGTTCCTATTTGTAAAAGCCCGACTACAAGTGGCGCCAAGGCCAGGCTTAAGCCCGTCGAGAAACCCAAACCTAAGCTAT